GTTGCAATGTCGCATCACCTCTGACTAACACGGCACTACCACTTCATACTTTAGGTCGAGATGCCAGTGTGCATACTAAGAGGCTACCACGTGGCACTCTTATTCTTCAAAACAAAATGTGTTCATGTTGAGGTTTGAATCCAAAAACCTCTAATAAGTATATTAAAACCTTTACCACTATATCTAAGCCTTCATTAATAATTATACTTTCTTGTCTTTTATGTTTCTTTTCTCCTCTCTTTTTCTTTCTTATTTTTTCTTTCTTTCTTCAAAACTACATTGTTTTGAAGTATTTTTACACTTTCAAAAACCTTAATTATTAAAAACCTTTTGAAGCCTTCTTTTTTAAAAAAAGAAAGCTCCAAAATAACGTAGTTTTAAGAAAACAATAAGAACGAAAAGAAAAAAGAAAAGAAGAAATAAAATACAAGAAAGTTATTATTATTAATAAAGGCTTGTGGTGGTAAAGGCTTTGGTATACTTGTTAGAGATCTTGGTTCAAAACTTAGCAAGAATACATCTTGTTTTGAAAATAAGAGTGCCATGTGTCAGCCTCTTAATGCGTCATGTGGCAACTTCTTAATGTGCCACATGGCATCTCAAACCCAAGTATAATGTGATAATGCCATGTCAGCATGTCAAAGTAACATGGCACTTTCTCGTTAGCATTTTGTGCTATGTGACGTTAGCACTATGGTTAATTTAAACAAAATGTTAAAAGGGATTAAATTGAAACAATTTTTAAAATTAAAGAATTAAAATATTGTAATTTTAGTAGAATGAACTAATTGAAAAAAATAATTTAGTATAGGGTCTTCTTAAGTATTTTGACCATTTCTTTTTCTATTTTAATTCATCACTTTCGTAAAATTGAACATTGATTCAAATAGGCATATAATATTTTTAAAAATTTTTTGAATTATTCAAAAAATTTTAAATAAATTATTTTTTTATTACATTCAATTAAATCTTTATATTTTTATTTTCTTAATAGGTCTTATAATTATAAATTGACTAATTATATTGGTCAAAAACAAATTAATTAAAATGTCATTTATGATTTAATGCTTATGTACCATTAACATAGCAAGTAAAATTATAATCTGATCATATTGTCAAGTCATATAATCATGTCACATCACAATCACTCTAGCATATCAACAAGCATCTATATGAATCTTTTCAAACTTTGCTTCAACTTCCACTTGTGCAATATCCTTCTATTCTCTCTTTATATCATACAACATTTGGTTTTCTTCCATCTCTTTTAGTTTCTCTATCAAGCACAACAGAGGGATTGATTCTCTAGTATGCCTTAATAGATCGAAGTATGGAAAACTGATAACAAATAGCTAAATTTCCTTGTAGATTTTTCTCTTTAATTAATTACTTTTTAATCTTAATGAGTTTAGTTTTTTTTATAACTAGAAGAAGGGAGATTCGGATTTTTCTTTTTAAATAGGGATCATGCACCAACCAATGAGCCAAATGCTTAGGTGCAATCTTAATGAGTTTGGTTAATTAGTAACTTTTTATTTCAAACCCTTAAATTTTTCCATACATAAGATGAAGTGTTGATTAACGAGCCAATTTGGTGAGGAGTTGGAGGTTAAGCGGCAGAGTGAGCTTGTGGTCATGGCATCATGAAATGTGGCAATGGAGACATAGATGAAATTAGGTGTAGATAATTGAAACATCCAACAAACAATGGCTTATAATTTGCGACAATTCTTAGCAACATGTCCAGGAATTTCATAGAACTGGCAATCAACTTTGGTTTGGATTTGCAAAGTTTGCCCTAGCCATTTTGATTTGAGGAGAACTATCCTCTAGTGTGGTTGCAGGTCCCTCGAATGTTGTTCTCTCGTATGTTTTTATTATTTCGATTGTTGTTGGTAGTGGGTTTCTTGTATAGTTGACAATAATAGGAGTTGTGTTAGACTTGGCATCTCACTTAAAAAATGCTTCATAATCTACAAGTTTGTCATAAAGTTCTCCAAAGGATATAGCATATTAACGGGCACGTATAACAGCTCCAATCTCATTAAAGTCGGAACCAAGACTAATGAGAACGTGAAAGACAACTTCATCATCCGAGAGGGGTGCACAAGCAGTAGCATGTTTAGGGTATGCATATAGGAAGATACATTGGTAGTGTCTTTGATTGTTTTGCTTAAGGTGTCTCAAAGACTCATGATTCGTCCTCGAGTAGGTTTGGCATACATAAGATAAAGCTTTATTCAAAAATCACGAGATGACTTTGTGGAGGTTACAAATAAAAGCACGTTAGAAAAAAGAAAGGCAATGAGAGCAATTTGAAGAAATTGATCATAACGGATCCAGAATGAATTATTATTTTTATTGGAAACATCAAGAGTATCATTGACATAGTTAAAAAGTCATATCCAATTAAAAGAGATTGTCATTGAGTATGTCACATAATATAATTAATGGTAGTGAGTTTTAGAAGAGCTTGTAAAAGACAGCAATTGAAAAGAAATTTATTTCTGAGGTAAGGGAGGTGAGGATTGAAGTAGGTAATAAGATGGTTTGGTTCATTAAAGAATTTGATTCAACTATTGACAAAGAAAAGTATACGGGAGAAAAAAACGATGGAGAGAAAAAAAAACACTTAGGTAAAAAGCTCTGATATTATATAGAGAAGAAAATTCCACACAACTTATTAATAATTCAAATCAATAGATATACACATAGTATATTAAAATTGAATCTTTTAATTTTAGAAATATCTTTCTGCTAAGATAATAGAAATCAAGTAAATAAATTACAAATTATAATATATAATTATAAAATAAATATTTTAATTATGTGATATTCTCATTAATAAAAAAGAATAAAATATGTGGACAAATTATGCCACGACTCTTTCTAAGCAATATGGTAAAGAGTTAAAGAATAAAATAAAGCAATTATTAACTCCTAACTAATGTAACTATGCAATTATGCAAGTCAAGGTTAACAAATTTGACATGCTAACGCAATGTCTTTTTCTTTTTTCATTTTTTTTTTTGTATACGCAAACTAAGGAATTATTTCTTTTAGGTTAAAAACGAAACTCATAATAAGATGGGCAATATTTGACATCAAATAAAGGGTTGATAGCTCAATTGTTATAATAAAAGATTAAGGGCTAAAAAATCTATATAAAACATAAGATTGGATTGAAGAAAATATATAAATTAAAATTTTTAAAAATGGGAATTTCTTAATAATATATTTAATTGCATCAGTTTGGGAGTATAGAATAAATTGTATAGAGATTCGCTCGGATTGTGAAGAAATGAGTGGAGAGGAATAGAGAAAGGCGAGATGCTTTTATTATTATTATTATTATTAGTTGCTTTCAAGCAATTCAGAATCTTGGATAATTGTGGTTAAAGGGGAGAAAAAGAGATGGAAATGGGGCTCACATGTCTTACCCTAAGAGACAGAATCCAGGTGCTCAGCTGCTAAAGCATTGTTTTAGTGGGAGAGGATAGAATTTTTGTTCGCTCCTTTTTATGATTATAGCATCTGGAAACTTTATAAAGGGTCTCCCTACCAATATATATATAGATTCACTCTTATCTCAATTACAAACATTTACTGTTTACATGAGAAAATTGTGGAGTGTATGATTTATATTTTGAAAATGAGAGGAAACTATCAATAAATAAAGATACCTTAAAATCATTATAACAATAGTAAACGTTATCTTTTAATAAAGAATTAGTAATTGATGTATTAAAGTATTTGGTTTATAGTTGATGCAAGATTTTTTTGTTTAAAAAGTAAAATGTGAATCTGTTTTTTCTTAATTAAAAAAAATTAATAATTGATTATGTATATAGAGTTCGTATTAAAACAAGGGCATATGTTGTTATTGAGAGGGAATGGAGAAGAGAAGGCATGTTAGATAATGATGCAAATAGTGCCTCCACTAACACGGCGACACAACAAAGGAGGAACAAGTGACAGTTGAAGCAATGACTTTTGAATTTGAAGAATTAGGTAATAAACAAAGACAGGGGAGGTGTCTGTCAGCTAAACTGGTTTGTGGAATAAAGTCATCACGTTACTTTTTCATTTGCGTTTAGTCAACAGCCATATTTATGATTTAGGTGGGATGTGTTTGTTTGGAGTACAAGGTCAAGGCACCTAATCATACCCTAACAGACGTTATCACTATAATGATAGCAACACAATTAAAATCCCTTGGGTCTTGGTGTACTTCCTTCTCATTCTGCGTTTTTTGTTTTAGACGAAAGTACCCTTGACAATGGATGGAAATTTCTGCCTTTGACACGTTCGAACGGTGAGCCTTGTAGCTAGATTTTCATATTATTGATGAACTATGGATGGTTGTTGCAGAAACTCGCTCCAGCTTTTAGTGTAGATGGGCTCTTTTTAAAGCACTCTGATATCCGTAAATAATCATGTGCTGTTCAATTCCTTCGTTCAGAAACTCCAGTTATTCTAGACTGAATCGAAGACATTTTACAAGTCATGCGCACCAACGACCCACCAGCACACCTCCATACAGTTACAGTTGTGGTTTTAGCTCCATCATCCATGTTGACAAATTCAAAAGAACAGTTGTTTTTTTGCCAAAACCAGAAATTTTGGGTTTAATTTCTTATCAAATTTCTAGAAAGAGGAAGTTAAACCTGGTGCTTCGCTCTGTAGATTTTGCAGTTTTTTTCTTTTTAATTCCATAATCAGAGCATTAAAACACTTAAATAAAACCTTCCGGAATTTAGAGTACAGGAATTCTCACCTTTCATTTGGGAAACCCAGTTCTGTTTAAAAACCAACGTGTTGGTTCCTGTCTCAAAAATGTAGTACTTGGTTTCAAGCGAAAAGCTACAAAGGCATCAACCTATGCCTTAATATGTTTCATTGGACTAAGATTGTCCAGGAATGACAGACATACATGTAGAACTGCACTCTGCGGTGACATTGGCAGCGCTGCCGATCAATAACTGACAGAAGCTTCGGCGCACTTAAAGTTTGGCGAAAGTCTTTATATATTTTCTATGAATGCGTTCTAATGTTCAATTACCAAATTCAACTACTTCACCATAAACAGAGAAATAGCACAAGGTAATAAACTGCAATTAACCCAAATAAAGCAACACTTTCCAGCAGAAGTTGCATTAGGAGGTAACATACAAATACTCATATCCCTCCCAGGATATACACAAGAAAAACGACCCTTTATTCAAATAATATTCAAGGTCGATTCAAGTACGCAATGGCCTTTACCATCCTCCTCTCTGAGAACCACCAGAAGAATGCACATTCAACCTATCAAGCACAGCATTAAAATCCACTGGCTGGCCACTCTCCTCCATCCTCTGAATCACACTGGCAACATGATCACCCCTAAAACCCATGCTCACCAATTTTTCAATCAAATCACCGTAGGGATGGCTGCGAATGAACTGTGAATGGCTGGTGTTCCGGATCATAACATTAGGGCCAGTGCCAGGTTGAGGAGTCTGAAGAGAGACATTTGCTGGGGAATACCCACCCTGTGAGAAATGAGGCTGTTGGGGTGGATGAAGTGTTCTACCACCTTCGCTATCATACATCATGTATGCACTTCCTGGAGGAAGGGGGGGATGAGGGCCAGGAGCTGTGTATCCATCAGCTGGTGGTGCTCCAAAAGTGCCCTTGATTTGCTGAGGTTGCTGGGGAGCTGTTCTACCAGGCAGACCATACCCATAAGGAATGGTATCAGCACGGCTGGACACAGGTTGAGGAACTCCAGAATATGAAACTTGCATAGGCAAGCTGTTTGGTAATGCCTCTGGTGGAGATGGGTTTGTTGCTTGAGTCGGAGGGTAGGGAGGATAAGCTGGTGTTGATGGGGGCCTCATCTGTGGTTGCATAGAGGACTGCTGCTGCGGTACTTGCTGTGGTAATTGTTGTGGCCATTGCTGCTGATACTGGGGGAATGATTGGACTGGTGGTACCTGATTTACTTGGGACTGTGTAGGCTGTGGTGGCATCCTGGAGATGTCTGGTATCTGAGGAGTTCGGTATTGAGGATCAGAAGGCAAATATTGACTCTGAGGGTGTTGGCTTGGCGCTGGGGCTGGGGTAGGGGCAGGGGCAGGGACTGGAGCAGGAGCCGGGACTTGGGCTTGGGCTTGGGGGTTGGATAATTGGTTTGGAGGTATATAGTAGGATTGTTGGGTCAAATTCTGAGGTGGGGCTTGAGAGTGCGGCACCACAGGCTGTTGTGGTGGTGCTACTTGATGAGGCAGGGCAAGAGCTAATTGCTGGCTTTGCATGTCAGACGTGTGATCAGTCTTTTTAGAATCAGAAGCAGGTGGTGATGCTCTCCCCTCAGTGGACTGTGAATGGCTGGAAGACGAAGACTCCTTCTGCACAAGTTGTAATTTAGCCAACTCCTTCTGAGTCTCAGCTAGCTCCTGCTTATCTCTTAGGATCTGCACAGACCTGTGGACCTACAGCGTACATTGAATATTTGATAAGAATATATCTTGCATAAAATGGAATACATGATCATGAAAGAATCTATAATCAACAAGAGAAAACAGTAAGAAGCAAGGTGATGGGACCAAAGGCCAGCTGTTACCAGAAAAGGCAGAAAATCTGAGCTCAATTTAACAATACACATCTAGTCTTTCTCATATAGGCCATGAAAATAGATCCAGAATGTAACTTCAGAGTTATTTCTCTCCAGGGTATTAGACTATGAGAACTTTGAAAACATGCATATACAGGCAGAATGAACATGCATCTGAGCCTAAAATCCATATTCACCATCCCAAGAAACATTTTTATGTTACAAATTTTAATGTCAACAACATTAGCAGCTGATGTTTGAATCCCTTTAATATAACAGCTGCAACTCAATAAAACACTAGTTCTTTTCCAATCCATATTACTGCACTTTCTCAGGCATGTGATTGCTCTGTTTTAGACAAGAGATAGGTGCCTTTATTGGTAATGATAAATAGATGTTTTCTGTAAAGCAAAATAAGGACCATACAAGCATCTTAAGGCTTTAAAGGAAAAAAGATCCAAAAGTAGGACTGAGGTTAATTGTGGTAAATCTTAAAACCAACTAATTGATAAAATCCACATTCTCCGGAAATGTAGGATGTTCAGTGGCACTCACCTCCTGGAGATGTTTCTCAATAGATTTAAGCTTTGAATCTGCATCTACATGATCACGAACTAAATCAGAGCGCATTTCTCCAATCGATTTATCAAGATTGTAGCAATATAACTCCAGCTGTGACAATCGTGAACTTATTCCCTCGAGAAAGCGCATAAGGTTGTCTGCATATTTTTTCATGGTTTTTTCAACAGTAGCAGTCACATCTGTGGAGAAAGAATCTTCTGGCTGGCTGTATGCATTAGATGGAAATATTGATCGTGCAGCTCTGCCTTTGTGAAAATCCTGCAGTGGTCGATTTTACAACATGACTAATTAGTTACACTATAAGCAAAAGGACCAATAAATGCCACTAGCTTAGCAACACTGTGGGCAAAAAAAAAAAGCTTGGCTCATTTTTCCCTACAATAAGTTGTACATATAAACCCAAAAGACAATATGTTCTAGTTATTCTATAACGGCAGAAGGAAAATAATTAAAGGTTCAATCCGATAACACCCCAAGGTAGTATAACCATTCAGTACAAGAACTTTTAGGATCTACATTTCAGTTTGGGAAACTTTGATGGAACTGCACATGACCTTTTCTAGTTTTTGTCACTGTTTCTATAGGGAACAACAAAGACAAATGCTTAGGATCAAGGATCAAATGCTTCAATAAGGAAATTCTACTCAGGGCAAATAAAAATCCAAAAAATTTGTGGATTTGACCCCACTCTACCAACAGCTACCCAACCACATGATCATTGCTGAGTTTTATTAACTCTAGTATGTGAGAATGGCTATGGTATTTGATAGAGATGAACGAAAGAGATGGAAAAAAAATGATGCAAAGTAATTCACTTTTGGCTCAATTGTCCCAAGTTCAAACTCAAAAATACGACAAGCATTCCACACAAAAGTATTAATCACTTGTACTATACATGACTGTGCAAACAAAAGTTTCTCGCATTCCATTTTAACTTGCCCTTCAGCCAACACATATATATACTTTCTGCAACTTGTAAACATTTTATTCACTTTCTTGCACCCACTACATAAAATGCAATATGCAATGCTATAGAACCAAACCTTCTTCCCACAAAAAGGGCGGGGGTCCAAAACTGAAATTATGGAAATGAACCAACCATAAACTTTCTCAATTCAGAAATATAGTAAAAGCTTTGTACCCCCTAGAGCAAATACACAGATACCTTATGGCCATGAACTAATAATAAGTATTTGGTTAACACCATCTCTAATTAATCTCAACGCAAATCGTCACCATGAGAATCATAATCAATGGTAATGAGCGAAATTCTCAATTTTTTTTTTATGTTTCTTAAAATAACGGGAAATCCAAGAAAAATCCCCAACCAAAAAAATAAATCAAGCTCAATGAAAATTCTAGAATGTCAAAATTTCATTTTTATAATTCATATCTTCCTATAAACTTACAATTACTTACAATTATTTTCAATGAAAAGAAGTCTTTAGGTCTCATGACAAATAGACACCCAAAAAGGAGGAGAAATTCTAACCTTTACTAAATTTAGGCCAACAACCGATCAATTAGAAATCCGAATTAAAAGAAATATTCCAAATTTGCCACAAAATAAAGATCTGTTACGTTGTTAAGCAATTCGTTTTTATCAAATCAAACTCTCAAATAAACCCTAATCAGATCGAATCCTCCCCCTAAAAGTAAAAGGAAAACCCTACAAATAAAATCCCAGCGAAAGTGACAGCAGATACCTTGGCGGAGCTGTTGGTACCGACTACAGGTTCGGCGTGGCTACCGTTAGAGGATTCCTGGTTCCCGTAGTCCTCATACGAGCAAAGAATATCATCGGACCCAAAATCGAACCCTTTGGTACCACCCGAGTTGCCCCGACCCGATGATCCAGATGCCATTTTTTCCCCAAGCAAATCGAAACAATAAAATTACTTCTCTCGAAAAAGATGGAAGAAGAAGAAGAAGTAGGTCAAGATTTTCCTCCTTTACTTCTCTTTCGAAAAGAGATAAATATAAAATAAAACAAAAACAAAGAGAAAGATTATTGTTTTAAGCTTTTAACTAGCTTGTCTGCAAAGGAAAGGAAATTTCGATGAAGTTTTTCTCACCCTCTTTTCTTTTAACTATATTTAATTTTTATGTATGCAACAGAGAAGTGCGAGTGTCGAGAAACGTTTTTAAAATGGGGCATTTGGGTCTTGGAATTAGATAAGGATGATCCTTCACCGACCTTTCCTTCTTTTTGCACATTTAGTCCTCCATTTTGTTTCTATTCTTATTCTTTTATATTATCTTTCACATTTTTCTATTTGATGCCTCATTATTTATTTCTAAGTGTTTACTGTTGTTCCTCTTATTAAATTAGTTATTTCTTGTAAACCCCCCCCCCCTACTCCAATAATCATACAAAAAAGTTTAACCAAAAATAATATTTCTAAAGTAATTGATTTCAGAGGAAATTTGAGTTCCACTTTATTAAAATGAAGGAATAGACTTGATGGTAAAAATTATATCCATGAATAAATTCATATATCTTCAAAAATAAAATTTTATCTCTCAAAATCAAATGTAAAATAATAAAAAAAAAGGATCAAATCTATAATAATACTTTTTGAGAGTATTTGAATCTTAAATGTTAATTATTTCATTTAGAAATGTAATTACTAATTACTACAACAAACATGAATTGTTGTTTGACTTTGCCAAAAGTATTTCAAAGAATGAATAAAAAATACTAAAAATATCAATAAAACGAAACTTTAATATTATGGACCTCAATTACGAGTTTGTTTATATAATCTTTACTTTGCAATCAGTTTAAAATAAATCAAAGTTAAATCTAATGGAACTGTGCTATAAATGAATGCTATTAAATGCCTTCTTTTTTTTTTTCAATTTCTTTTTCTTAATTACGATACAGACTTTCTCCTCACTCATCGAGCATGAGACAAGTGCTAGTGCTTCCTCCCTACCATATCAAGCGGTCGATGCATTTTTCTATAAAGTTCCTTGGGCTCATTCAAAGTTTTGACTATAATAGCAAACCCATTTTCCACTTCACAGATCCACTTACTGGACATTATCCATGGGACATCAATTGTTCGTGTAAAGGATGCTACGAATAGCAGATGATACTATAAGGTCAAAGTTTGAGGCAACTCATGAGAATGTGAAGCATGTGAACCATGCAAAACTACCTAAATTTCAAGATTTACATGAGATTTTTTTATAGCTTTTTTTTAATTTGTTATTAGCAATATTTTTATTATAATCTTAGTTAATCATTTTTAATTGTATATATATAATTTAAATAATAGTAATAGAAGATAGAAGTTCGTGACCATGTAGTGAATGCTTCTTTGGGTTGTGAGCTTTGTACGTAACACCAAATATTCACCTTTACTTAAACAAAATATATAATCACAAGAAGTACTTTTTAGAATAAACTGCTAAGCATAATTTATTTGATTACGTTTCTATTATTTAATACTAATATTTGTGTACGTTGTCGCTTGTACATGCATAATAAGAGATCGAAATTCATTGAACCTCAATTAACAAATCAATACCATTCTACACTATTAGTCTATCCAATATCTAAATTTGACAATTCGTATTTGCATATCTTAACTATATTATGTAAACATATATAAGTAAATATAAACATGATACAATTAATTAAATATATTAAAATTCATGAATACATTCATTAAATGTGTAACAACATGATATAACACGACATGTTTAACAAATTTATTAAACAAATTACATTTAATCTTTTATGATACAATGTGATTTATAATCAATTTAACTTTGAAGATGTTTTTGCACTTGTAGCTCATGTGGAAACTATTCGTTTGCTCATCTTCTCGTAAGTTCAAATTTGTTGAGAAACTGATATTGTTATGTACTTGAAAACAACACCAAGCAACATTAACAAATACTATGCTTTAGGGGTGAGTAAAATTTGATTGGACCAATGATCTAACCGAAACAAATGTAATTTATGTAAAACGATTCGATTCGATTGATTCATTGGATTTATTGACCCAATTGGTTTATTTGATAGGTTATTGGTTTTAATATTTTTCGACCATATAGACCAAAATGCCAAATCAATATTTTATATAAGCAAAATATTATATATTTTTAAATTTATATAAAATATATATTTTCTTATTACTAAGTTGACGATGTGTGATGGTTGATTATCTTATGTTTTTTTCTTTGGACTTAGGGGAAATGAGATTCAAACTTTATTTTTTAAATAAAAAAATCATGTATCAACTGATGAGAAAAATGCTTAGGTGCGATTGATTATCTTGTATTAGATGGTCTTATTTTGTATATGTTAATTTTATTTTCTTTATTATGTTGAATTTTGAACATTAAAACTTAGAGGTTGAAAATCTTGAATGTTAATTTAATGAATTTGATAGCTTATGTGAAAAGGCAAATTATATGAGTGAAAAGGCAAATGTTTTGTGCTTTTTTTTAATGTTTAAATTATTTATATATTTTATAATTATGAATGAAGTTCATGAATTTCAATCTTGTAATTTGTAAAAGAAAAAAATGATAAATTTTTTATTCTTTTGATCCAAAATCAATCCAATCGAACTAATTTGATAGTTGGTCAATTCAGTCCTATTTTAAATTTTATTTATTTTGATCAATTTTTTAAAAATATTTAATCTATTTAATTTTTAATTATAATAGACTGAAAAGATCAAATTGTCTAATTACTCGTATATCACAATAAATTACGCATTCAAAACTCGAATACACAAAGCCCAAGGCCGTACTATCCAAGATGCCCTTCAAAAACGAAAAGAAATGCACCATACACTCACTTCCTCTCTATTCTCCGTTCATTCTGGACCCGCTTCTGCTTTTAACTTTTCTTACAATATATATACATGGTAGCAGAATGGGGGTAATTATTTTGAAATTTGCAACCGGTAACACTAGCAACATTGTACATTACTATAGTTATCAACATTGTACGGTATGTAATATATATAGTACTATATTAGAAAAAAATGATAAATATTTATAATCCTATCACATTTAATTAAATATTAAAAATGTATGCCTTGCAATACGGAAATGTATTGTAAAATACAGTTGATATATTTTTTATAAGCTTAATTTTAATTAATTATTAAAAATTTTATTTTATTTTTTTGAGTTGAAACATGAAAAGCTTTTTTTTTTTTAGTTTCAATCTTTAGATTTTAAACAAAAAAAATACTAAAAAATTAAATTCCCTTTTGATATCAACATTATAAGTGGTTTTTTAATTTTTAATTAATAAATTAATATAAAATATATATTTTTAAGGAATATGTTGACAATTTAAATTCAAAAAATCATCTTTTTAATTTATACCCTATGTCATCAATTTTTTTAAAAAGAATATAATTTTTTTTAAGTTTTTTATTTTACATGTATAAATGTTATTTATAATTAATTTTATTATTTTTTACTATATGTTACGATACGATATTCGATACTAAAAAAAAAAATTTCAATACAAGATAAATATCTTGATTTAATAACTATGCACACTCCTAACAGAAAAGATCTTTGTTAAATGGACAATTTATCAACTTGATGTAAAGTCAGCCTTCTTAAATGAGTATCTTGAAGAAAAAATCTATGCTTAGTAACCAATCGGGTATGCGGTTAAAAGGCATGAAAATAAAGTCTTGAGATTGAAGAAAGCAATATATGGATTGAAGCAAGCACCAAAGGCATGGAATAATAGCATCGACAAGTATTTGCAAGACAATGGATTTGTTTGTTTCTCTCATGAGTATGCTTTTTATGTTAAAATTCATGATAATGAAGATATTTTTGATTGAGTTGAATCTAAGTGCATTGATGTGTTTATATAAACTATGAATTTCAAAAAAAAATTTTAAAAAATAAGCAATCTAATTACACAAGCGAAAAAACACATTATATATAATGCAAGAGACATATCACATCCTAAAAAAATAAGAATCTATTAAAATAAGATAAATGTATTTTTTATTTTAAGATTCTTATTTTTAAACATCTAGTGAATTATAGTAAATTCACCACCATACTAACAATTGATTTCTTAACAAAACAAACTTACCATTTATTCTTTAAGAATGTTTTTAACTTGAACCTTGAGTGAATAAAGTGTGAAATGCTTGACTATAAGATGATAATCAATTTTGTCTCTTTTTTCTTTTCAAAAATCATTGCTTATTTTTCTTTCAAGAAATCGACTAAGAATGGAAAAAATGAATAGAGGTGCAGGAAAGTTATACAAAAAAGGAGAGAAGTGGTGATAGAAGCTTTTTCAAGAAAGATACGTTACATTGTTTCTTTCAATCTCTTATCATTTTTTGTCTTAAATTAAGAAAAACATATTTTCTTGTTTAAATTAAGACAAACATGTTTTCTTATTTAAATTGAAAACTTGTTTGGCTTGACTTTTTTTAACTTAAAAACTAATATAAAGTTCTAATGAAAAATAATAGCTTTCAAAATTAAGTTAAATTTGTTTGGAAATTTATGTTCATAAGCTCTTTTTTATGAATAAGTTATTTGACAAAATAATTTATATAAGTTTCTAATTTTGGTTAAATTACGATAATGATATTTAATAAATAATTTTCAATTAATCACAAATCACTTGTTCACAATGGAAAAAAGTTTACTTTATTTTTTTATTTATTTACAATAAATTTTTAGAAATATAAAAGGTATTTTTATGTAACATAAAATTTATAATTAATAATAAATCATATAAAAGTGAAAACGGATAATGTTAAAATTATTTTAATAGATGAAGACATTTTTGAAATAAAAAATTTTTTTTCCAAAAATGAAACGTGTCTTAAGAAAATAAGAATAGAAAGCTCATTTTTTGAGCTTTTCTTAAAGCCTTTTTTTTTAAAATTTATTTTTGAAAAAAGTTGCTTTCTTTAAGAACTTTTTAAAATCCCTATTTGGCCTTATTTTTACTTTTAAGAGGTAAATAAGTTAACAAAAAATAGGTCAAATAGGCACTAAGACAAAACATGATTTTATTTAAAATAAATATATTTTTTTGTCTAAATTAAGACAACGTATTTCTTATCTAAATTAAAATAAAATGTATTTTTTTTTCTAAATTATGACATAATATGTTCTTTCATCTAAATCAAGACAAAACATGTTTTCGTATTTGAATTAAGGCAAATATATAAAAACTGTCATTTTTATACATAAATTTAATTAATAGAATAAAACATATACCTCAACTTAAATAAGTTGAATTCTAAGAAGTTAAGTGGGGAATTTATTTGGATATTAATATTCTAAGCTTCAATAAACTTATAATTATACTTAATCTTATGAAGATAATTCAAGCTTATTAATCATCACTCCACCATAGATTCATGATTGCACACTTGGATTAACTATAATTACAAGAAATAATTTAATAGTTGCTATTTATTATTAGTTTTCCAATTATAAATCTTATATTATGAACCCTTATAACCATTCAATGACAAAATATGAAATTACCGTTTTATCTTTTATGTCAATTTTGTCTCATAATATTATATTTCATCCAATTAGTGATCCAATATTTTAGATCTAATCTTTTGAATATTAAGATATGATGAGTAACTAATTTATCAATTTACTGGGTCTAGATTAATTAATAATCTTTTTGAAATCACTAAAAGTGATGTTAATGCTATAATCTCCACTATTAGGATATATGTTCTCAGATGTTCACTTCAATTATAAATCCTAACACACACAGTCTAGATCAATGTTTTATGACGATCATGCCTATGGTGTATCAAAGATTATAAGGAAATAAAACACAAATCCACTGTCCTTGAGGATTTAGGTTCTACCATAAGTAAATATGTAAGTATGAGATCAAAATTTAAGTAACAGTTAAATTTAAATTTGATTATCACGTAATTTCAGTTCATGTTATAATGTTATTTCTTGAAATTAACCATTATGATGATTTGAGACTCATCATTCTCTTGAAATGAATCACATTCGTTTCGTTGGAAGTGATCTGGACATTACAGTCTTAACACAATAAAGTGACTACCTTTTATTATATGGTTGTGAATAATTTTTAGATTCAATCAAAATACATGTTTTTTATGTATGACTCTTTATACAAAAATATTTTAATATCTCAATAGAATTATGGTATTTTAGTAACTAGATAATAAATGTTTACTTAAACAAATTCTTTATCTTATTATCAAAATGTACTTTCATTATAAATAAATTAAATAAAATTAAGCATAAAAATATATTTACTTTCTAGAGCGCCATATTCTTAAATTTTTAACAATTCTACTTATTTGCCTTTATGTGGATGATCTTGTTTTTATTGGTACAATCCAAATTCGTTTGGAGAATTCAAGAATGCTATGTCACTTGAATTGAGATGATTGACATAGAGTTAGGATTGTGCAAATTGGCTTCGAAATCAAATTGAATAGAGTTCAATATGAATAGTTTGGTTATTTGGTTTTCGATTTTTACCTTGGTTAACAACTTAATTGGTTAGGTTTATTCAGTTTGGTTTTTTATCCTAAAAAATCACAATCGAACTAACCAAATAATCAATTTTATATTGTATAATATATTATTTTATAATTTTTTTAATCTTTTACATATTAGTTATTTCTTTTATACCTAGCAATTTAGATATTTTTTAACTAATTATAATTTTATTTTCTTTAACATGTTAGAGGATCTATGTGAGGAATCGAGGAGGTCTATCTTTGACTTCGAAGAAGGAAGATCCTATTTTATTTAAAAGCTTTACTGGAAGTTTGAGATACCTTACTTGTACAAGACTCTTAACATTCTCTTTGCCATAAGAGTAGTAAGTCGCCTCATGGAACCTCTTACTTCTACGCACTTGAAAGCTAATAGAAGAATATTGCCTTACTTATAAGGTACAATTTATTTTGGGTTATTTTATCTTCCTCCTAGAGTGCTGCAATATGCAAGTCCAAGAATCTGGTCGCTTGACATAAAGAAGAGCGGCGATTAATTTTTTTATCTAAGTGTGATTGCATATCTAATTGAATTTATAATTTTTAACAAAATTTAAAATTTAATTTAAATTTATTAAAATTGACAAGTTTTAATTTATGAAATAGAATTGAATTTCGCACTACGGTTATACACAAAGAAGGTGAGAGCACTCCTATAACTTTTATTAAAAGAACAATATCAATTAATTACGTTATCCTATGTTAGCTTTGACAAATAGCTATTGGTTTAATTTATTTATTACTATATTTTTCTTCTTTTCGTTCTTTTTTACTTAATTATTTTAGTTTTCTTAACACTTTTGACTAAAATTAAGGAGAGTCACCCCACTTCGAGAGTATTTTCTTGAAGGAGACTCCGTCGTCTAATTAATTTGATATTTTATGAAAAAGATTTAGATTAAATATTTTTTTCCTTTTTGTTTCTTTGTGTTCTATTCCTAAAATTTTATTTTATTATATTTTCTTAAAAATTATTTCTTGGATTAGGAATTTGTCATTTTTATTTAAAAAGTAAATTAGAAATTTTTTTAAAATTTTCAACATTTTAAATAGAATTTTAGGAATCTTGGAGAAAATTGTCACTCACATCTTCTTTAAAATTTTATTGTTGGTCGATTTTTCATGTACTTGCATTTCATATACCTTTTAATTGTTTTATTTTTATTTTTCTTGAAGATCAAAGAAATCCTTGGATAATGAAAAATTTTCTAAAATCTCCAATACTTTTTGTAGAATTTAGAATTTAGAAATGTTCCTCACCTAGGAATCTTTAAGATAATTGTCATTTACAACTTTCTTATCACTCCATCATTGGTTGATATTTATTTACTTGTATAATTAAAATTAAATGCATATAGTGCAAACAAATAAATATCATGATGCAATTTGGAAATTATTCATAATTTTATTTACTACACACTTACTTTATTTTGCACATTTTTTTGTCATATATAAATAATAGTCTTTGTGAAAATAATATTTGAGATTCCTCCCAACACTTTTAAAAAGGTTCCATAATTATTTTCAATTAGGAAAATTTAGAAAAAAATGTCACTCACAAAATTTCCTAAAAATTCCCTTTTAGGAAGTTTTTTTTAAATAACCACCATTTTTAATTTTTTTGGTTCAATTTATTCAACTAATAATTTTAATTTGACCACTTTTATTGTTCTTAAATTACCATATATTAAATAGTTTAATAAATTCAAAGCATATATAGAAAATAGACGTGTAACATCAAAATGAGCTAGAAAATGTAGTAACTCAACCTATTGGGCTTTGAATCCAAATCTTGTGGGCTGGAGGGCAAATAGAATTGGGCTTAATGGACTTGGATCTGGTCGGGTCAAATCAAACCCATTTTCTTCTTTCTCTATTTTTTTTTTTGTGTTTTTTTTTTTTGCCCCACCCACTCGTCAAAGCGAAACTATTTTGGTGCCTGGCATCAAAATCGTAGAAGCCCTTCTTTCAGTCTAATTCTTCACCATCTCTCCCTACCTTCTTTCTCGCAAGAACAGTCATCGTTGAACCGAAATTTCGAGGGGCTGCCGTCGTTACTGTTGCCACTATTGGTTGTCGGTACCTACTGCTCGTCCTTGAACCTAATTCATGAGTGATTGTGCTATAAAAAACAAGCGATCATCACACTTTTTGACTTGTGAGTCCAAATATAATGCTGCAACTTTTTGTACTTGTCAAGCTATTCGCCTGATAAGATTGTTGAAGGAACGACAATTGTCACAAGAGGAATTTACGGAGATTTACATCAACAACAAGTCCACACAAGCAGTTGTTCAAAGTAAGGACACAAGACATCATTTCATTAGACAATGCATTGTCATGCAATCAATCAATGTGCGAGGTTTACGCCCTTGGAACTAACGCTTGGTAAACAATCGCAGAGGTACCCAGTCCCAAATTATGGAGGCTTGATTTGCAAAATGCCTTTCAATGGAGCTGTTCAGTGTTCACTGGATTTGGTCTTTCAAAATCAACAATGAAAAGTTTCCCATATGGATTTGAGCTTTTAAAATTGAAGATGAGATGTGTGGGATCCATTTCCTCCGCCACTTCCTCTGCTTCAAGTCCTCTGCTGCTACCATCATGGTTAGAATTACAAGTGTTCTTACTGAAAGTAAGGTACCATGTGAGATGCATGTTCCTTCACTTGTATCATTAAAGCTCACAAAAGATGGAGACTTACGCATCTTTGATGATTTGAATAAAGCACTTGTTTGCTTTAATCCACAAAATAGAATGCCCTGCCAACAAAAGATTTCTGGCCTTTCAAAGCCCACCATTGGCGTTGCATATGTTGCGGCCTTTATATCTCCAAAGAAGTCGTCATCAAGGAAGAATGTTAGATTGTGGTGTAAATTTTAAGAAAAAAAACCGCAAGCTTTGGTTGTATTGACGCCTTGGTGAATGGTGATCGACTACAACATCCACTGAAATGGTATGGACTATTTTACTTTATCCTTAAGGCACATTAATTTGGATACCGTTCGTGTTCCTTCTAGTTTTAGACACTTACATAGAGGAATTTGAACTTCGAATTAGTGGATCATTTTTATGTGTTTAGTTTCTTTGTTGCTTGATGATGCATAATATCTTGTCACGCACTGTTCCTCTGTAATTAGTGAAGGCTGGCTGGAAAGGACTTTAAAGAAGAAACAACCTCAAACCTCCAGATTTCAAAAGACTAAAGAAGAAATAAGATAGTAATTTCGCCCATCAATCTTAACAAGTTTGTTCTACATCGGTCAAAGACCTGTCTCTTCCTAGCTAGACTGATCAAGTTTAAGTATCATCTGCATTCTACAACATTCTGACTGAGGATGCACAACAGGTTTATTATTCTATTTGAAGTAAAAGTAATGCTTAAAAAAATAAAAAGGATCGAACAAGATGAAACAGAAAGCCCATACTTGAACACCTGTCTTCTTTTGATTGATAGAAAAGGCCAAGAGCAGGCAGAAAGGCCATGGGCAAGGCTCTGTCCATTTTGCACAAGACCACCAGTTGCCAGGAAAACACCCCAGAACATACATGCTATAACATAACAAGAAAATCAACACGCAGCAAAATCAAAACTTTCCAGTCATTCCTGAAAAACTCGCCCCTTGCATGGAAAAGCCAAAACCAGAATCAAAAGGCCGAGGAGACCATCAGCAGGAAATTCATCGACAGAAGAGAAGAAAACTACAGAAAACATAGCACGCACACACAGGCAGACGGGAGAGGATCCCAGAACGACTGGAAGCAGAGATAATTAAAATGCCATAAACGCAAGGCAACTCCAAAAGGGAGAAAATACTTGAAAGTATGTCTAACTAAGACTTTTCAACAAGAAGAGGGTTTAAAACTCTGTGAATAGAATAGAGGAGGAGCAACATGTAGATAATCACACTGATGAATCCAACAACTAATGCTCCTTTTACTTGGTTGCAGTACTTAGGGACTTGGTCACAGATGGGTAGCCAACCTGCATTGGGATTTCCTTTCTTGCCCACATAAGCAATTGCTAGGGCCGCTGAAATGCTTGAGGTAAGCAACATGGTGATAACCTTGTCAAAACAAGACTTATCTGTTAGCAATTATTGTAGCAGATCCTCACGTTAGAAAAAGAAAAAAATACTGTTAAGGAATAATGCATAATTACCACATCCAAGGCAACAACTAATCGCCAGAGCAGGCTTTCTGATGGAAGAAACAGTAGCAAAAACCCATAGATGCTCACGATTGCATTTGCAATTACAAAGTACCTACGGCAAGTCTTCAGTCACACAGTATACATCATAAAATGGCAATTGCCCTAGCATGAAGGAAAAACAAAAATGTGATTACTGTCGTAATTATTTTGAAGTTTGATGAACTCACTTAAAAGCAGGTATATCAGAGTATTTTGCTTCAAACGATAATGCCAAAACAGTAGTTCTCTCACGGCTTGAAGCCATTATAATTGCAGCTGAAACCGTCGTGCCAAAGGCTATAAGTCTCAGCAGAAAGGTGCAGATCCTCTTTGTTTCGGCCATGGATATGCTACAATATGGAAGGTTGGGTATTCTGTAAAAAGAAATCGGCAATTCTAGAGAAGAATGGGGGTTAGCACATGGAAATGAGACTAGGAAAGGGTAAGGTATGGGCGGTATATAGGGTGGTAGGAAGGCAGATGAGTGGTGGAGGACTTGGTACTCATGTTGAGTATTTTGTTAGTTGAAATCCTCAACTGTCACCCCCACCGCCCAGCAGAAAAATTTCTTCTACTTTGGCTGCTGATGCAGATTTCACTTCCTTTGGATATATGTGGTTAATGGTTATTGTTGTCTTACGCAAGTCTATTTTCAGCAACGATGCTGACTGTCAGAGACTGCGATCCATGGATTTAAATTGAATGGCGGTTTCTTTGAAAACAGATGATGTTGTGAGAATTAAAGACATTAAATTATTCGCTATACCATAAGCCTACTTATTGATTTTGCTCTTTATGTTTTAATTAGTACCAAGTTATAAAATAAAAGTAAATTCATAGTTGATTAAAAATGCATGTATGACTAAATGTAACATCAATTTTTATATAATTAATCTATGTAAAATTAGTAATTAAATTCCTACACATTTTGCTATAAAAGTAATCATCCATTGATATAACTAAAGAGCTTTGAATGCATGTGTAAGGTGACATCACTTTGTTGTTGGCCACCAAGATCTACACGACAGATTGCATTTTACTCCTGAAAATAGGAATAAAGGGTGCCTCCTTGTAATTGACATGACTTTCACTAATTACGTGCCCTTGCAACTTAAAAACCAACACTATTCTGTACTAAGTGTCTACTCTCTTGTATGATTATTAACAAGAAAGCTTTACTAGTTAATGTTAATTTTGATAATTATTAACACGTTTCCAGGTTTATTGAAGTGTGTCGGACATTGGGCCGTAGCTTTATACAAACCAACCGAGCACTGGGTTCTCCACTCTCCGGACTATTGTTCAACGTCAACCAATGGGCCGATACTGGGCTGGTTGTCCCAATTAATTTCCCAAAAATTGTCGTTAGCATCGTCAACGGTCAAAGTAGTTCACGGGGGAATGTATTGTCCCAAGTGAATGGATAGAAGCAAAATGTAAGGATAATAGATGAATGATTGACGCGGGAATCTTGACGCACTCAAAGTAGTTGCAACCTGAGACAGACTGGGTGTGATAAGCTCTATTCCAGTAACCACTCTTTCAACCACTAGGAGAGAAAGGAAACGGCGACTAAATGATGCATGTCCTTGTCATTTGCAAAAGTAAATAATAACAATTCCCTACCATATAGTACCCTTTTGACGTACGTGTTCAAGATGGGTATCTGGCGTGGTGATGGCCATCTGCTGTAGTGTTTCTTGCATCAGACTCGATTGCTGTTATTAACCTCACTGATCTGATATGGAGCTGGCTTGAATGTCCACATATATATTAATTTATTAAACCACCGAGTAGTGGTCTCTGGTGTCCAAAGAAGATTACAATTTTGCTTCTGCTTCCCACTTAAACAGCATTCGCACCTTTATCTCGGTGATGCCTCCTTAACCTAATCATCATCATCAAATATATATTACCCTTTTTTCATAGTTAAGACTTAAGATCAGTAGCCTTCTTGGGCTCAAAAATCTGTTTACCAAATCAGTTCATCGCCTGAGCTGAAAGAGCCAACACCATGAGAAGAAAACAGAAAAGTAGCACTTCTCGCCCTCCCTCGCCTACCGTGTAGGCAACGATTGGTGGAAATTACAGTGTCAAGTTTGGATGAGTACAAGTATTTATTAAAGAGAGGTGCACATTGAGTCGACCACCGACGGATTGCTGGGTGATATCTGTTTGGGTTGGAGGATATGATTGGTTTCTCTAAGCAGTTTTGTGGCCCTTTTTGTTTGAGAGTTCAGACGTCAGCCCAACAAAGCTCCACGGTGCTATGATTCGTTCATCTCATCTACTTAAGCACATCACATGGGCCAGTGCACATAAATAATTACTACACAACGATTCTGCCAATACAATCTTGTCTGCAAAAAATAATCGACGCATCATTATCACAACCCTCCATTCATAATTTTTGATGCCACGATGAATAAACCACACCCGAAAATATTGTTGTTCACAAAAATTATATGTACAGTGAAAACAAAGGAAGATGGAGTGAGTTCATATGTCCAACATCTCATGCACACCTTCTTCTCTTTTTTTGCTTTTTTCCAGTATTGTCTCGTCCCACAATTGTCGGCATAATCTTATTTCTTTTTCCTTTGTCGGCATCAATTCCCATGATTTCTTTTCATTATCCAACCCCAATCATTCTCTATTTGCAGAATTTCTGTAAAGATAAGTATGATTTTCTCCTCGCCTTTTGGAAGAATTTCTAAAAACATTTTTCCTACATTCTATTTACCTTTTGTTGCGTGTGTCCACCATGTCTGATGGATTTGGTGGCTTTGATGGCCTTGACTAGAAACATTTAACCCTCTCAACTCTCAGATAAACTTAATTTGATAAGTCAATATTTACATATTTGGAGTAACCAAGCATTGCGAGATTACTTTTTTCTCTTTCTGAAACTCAAATTTTGATCATAGTTAGGATTACGTAACTCTCATTAATTACTTCAGAATTAAGTTTAAGGAATTCATAAGTGTTTTTTTTTTATATATAAGGTAATAAAAACTATAAAAATTAACTACATCATTTTAGACCATGCAACACTCAAAACGTCTGCTAATAAAGCTGAACTAAAACTAACTGGTGGAAAATAAAAAACATGATGAGAATATATCTAATCAACATATTGATTAGCTTCATGATGAACATGAAATATGATACAGTCTCAAGATTGTTGAAGTGGCTCCCTTATACACTTGAGTAAATGAGCACTTGGATCCAAAGGGAAGCTGTGGTTAGTTACCTTTCAAATAGCAAGCAATGAATTTGATTCCACTTGAATTTTTCTGAAGCCCCTATTCCAACATAACTTTAATCTCAGTATAAAGCCCAAAGCTCTACAATTCAGGACCAAGGAATATCAATTTTATACATAAAACCTACTATCCAATTTCCATTCTCATCTCTAATTGCACCTCCCGCTACTACCATACCTGGTTGTCCCTTCGCACTTCCATCAACGTTAAGTTTCACATAATAGTGTTTTGACATTTCCCAAGCTATCAAGACTTCCTTCTTCATTTTGATATGATCTCTCCTTAAATTATCCCAAGTCTCTTTTGATTTGGTCCATATTTGTTGCCATGGATTGTAAGGCCAAACAAAAGAAGCATCGAAAATGGTTAAGTTCCTTTAATACCACAAGAACCAAATAATGTGAACAAAAACAGTACCTCGTGGAATTTATCCAATATTCCATTACTCATCATGTTTTCCAGCACTTAATGTTGTAGATCAAGGATAAAAAAATTACCATTGTTTAGCTCAAGATTAATCTATAGCCATATGTTCTTTGAAGGACCACAAGCTCTCACCATATAAAGTATGGTTTCAACTTGATTACCACAACAAGGACAAGAAGTTAAGGCGCCTAGATTTCTTCTTGATAACCATGTTGTCGTTGGCAATGAATCATGCAAAGTTCTCCACATGAATATACGCACTCTCTTTGAACTGATAGATTCTTAGACATTCAGCCAATAATTTGCTCTTGGAAAATAGGAAGTCATTTGTAGATCGTAAGCTGGTTGCACTGAGAATATTCCGATACTTGTTGGGAGCCAGAAGCTTATATCTTTCTATTCACTAATAGGATCTATCAGTACTGTTACTATTAACAAAGTTCTATGATTGAGGAGTTCATGCCCAGTTTGTTCCAAATTCCAACTTCCAAATTCATCACAATAGCTTGCTACAAACAAGTTAACGTCCACATCTGACGATGCCTTGGAAGCATGATTAACTAGTGGAACACAATTGAGCCAAGCATCTATCCAAAATTTTGTTTGATGACCATTAGAAATATTCTTTCCCAAACCTTTCTTTAAAGCTGATCTACTTTTCAGTATGCTTTTCCACACATGAGAATCAGTTGACTTACCATTCACCAACATCAAATCCTCATGACGAAGATATTTTTCTTTCAGGATGTCAACCTAAAAGCTCTTTTTTTTTTTTTTGCCACATACTCTAATCAAGTTTCGCAAGTAAAGCCAGATTGAACTTCTTGGAGTCTTAAATCTGTAGAACCTTTTCCTTTTTTAAAGCACAAAGTTTGTCCTAACTTGGTGCATGAGTTTTCCTAGAATTTACTAAACGACCCCATATAAAATGTTGATTTAAACAATCAATTTTCTGAATAGTAGTTTCAGGAAGAAAAGATGTTTGCATTAAATAAAATGCCATGGTGCTAGTTATTGCTTGAACTAGTGAGATTTTACCCACCATTGAAAGATTTTTATTAGTCAATTTTCCAGCCTTTGTCTTATCTTAACAACCAGCTTTGAGTAAGTTTCCCTTGTAATTTTTCCTTGAATCATGAGGGTGCCAACATACTTCCCAAAGTCTTTTGTCAAAGGGATTTTGGCAGCATTGCTTTGCAAATTAGCTTTTGAGCTGTTAATATTTGAGGAAACCAATAATCTCGACTTTGTTAGACTTACCTTATACCTCAATGCCTGACAAAATTGATTAACGATTTACATCGTAACCATCACTTGTTTTATTGAGGCAACACCAAACAATATTAGATGATTTGCAAAACATACATGAGAAAGTATAAGGCCCCTTCTTGTTAATTGTAACAGCTACCATCTTCCCATGTTCATTGCATTTTCAATTAAGTTTGAAGCTTTCTCCAAACAAAGCACAAAATGATAAGGTGATAATGGGTCACCTTGTCGAATACCTCTTTTAGGAGAAAAGACATTTGACAACCTGCCATTCCAAATAATGGAGAAAATGAGAGTTCTAACAATGAATATAATAAGATTCACCCATGCAGAGGGAAAACCAATTTCCTCCAGCACTTCCTGCAAAAAATTCCATGTCAATCTATCGTAGGCTTTCTCCATATCTACTTTTATTACCAACGTTCCATTTATTCTCTTCATTCTCATTGTATGAGTAGCTTTCTGGACTATAATTATGTTGTCCATGGCTTGTCTTCCAAGAATAAAGATGCATTGGCTTTTGCTAATACTGTCACTAATTAAGGGTCTCAAACGGTCCATTAGTACTTTATGATGATCTTTAATATAATTGGGCATAGGTTAATCGGGCAAAATTGGGTAAT